TAGTTTACATTACAGAAAAGAATAACTATAATCCCAACAATCCTAGTACTTGGTAGGCAGAGCAAGCAGATCTCTGTAAGTTCAAGGCCAGCCTGGTCTACATAGAGAGTTCCATGCCAGCTGGGGCTACAGTGAGATCCTGACTCAAAAAGACCAAAAAATAAAAAATAAAAAAGGTAAAGAAAAACTATAGATTTAGCAAGGTATTGATTCTGCTAAAACAAATGTGATTTACTTAATCAAATTTAGAGACCCCAAGATATTAGTTAAAATATTGAAAAAGTATTTCTAGATCCCCTAAACTGGTGCACAAATATGAATCTGATGCATGCTTGTTTTTCCATTTCTTCCAAACTAGTTTGCTTGCAGCCAGAACTGACTTGAAAATGTCCTTCTTGCTAACTAGTTGTCATAGTGCCAGAAAGGTGCTGTGCAGGTCACTGGAGTAGAAAAGACCGAAATGGTATCATTGCAGCCAATCATGTAGGCTACAAGCAAGGTGTACCCACTGCTACAACACTGGCATAAAGGTTATGGGGGTCACCAACTGCTTTCAGATTGGATTTGAGGTCTGTTTCAAAGGAAGGAATTCAGACCTGGTACTATAAACCTGACCAAAAGCCCATGGTTTGGGAAGTCACAGCCCTAAGAAGGAACCTATGTTGTTTTGTTGACAAACTGCTTTCTTTTTTTAAAATTTATTACTTTTATTTTTATTTTATGTGTATGAGTGTATTACCTGCATGTGTGTAAGTGCACCCAACGCCCATGTAGGTCAGAAGACAGGGTCGGATCCCCTGGAACTGGAGTTACCAATGGTTGTTAGCCAACATGTAAGTGCTGGGATTCAAACCCAGGTCCTCTGCAAGAGCAGTCAGTGTTCCCAAATGCTGAGCCATCTCCCCAGCCCCAAACTGCTTTCTAAATGTTTATCTTTATATCCATAGATTAATGTTGCCCTCAATTTTGGCCAGAGAAGCCTCTCTACAGTGGTTAACAGTTAATGCAGAGATTCGTAAGTGGTCAAAGTGTCAAGGATAAGTGTCTTATCAAATGCTAAGCCCTAAATAGGATATCTATATCAACACACACACAGAGACACACACAGACACACACACACACACACACTGCCATCAAGGTTCAGAGAACATCACAGAAGAGGGGCAGATAGAATTTAAGAACCAGAGGATGAGTAAGAGTGCTGTGAAATTCTGTCTTCTGAACAGACATGGCCATTGCAGCTGTGAACTCACTGCAGCTATGGTTACCTGTACAAGACCAAATCAACAAAACTAGTCAGCATTCCAACAGTCAGCACTAACTGAACTCAGTGGGTTATTAGCAAAAAAAAAAAAAGAAAGAAAGAAAAAAGTGAGGCATGAAGTGCAGAGAGGACATGTTGATGTTGGGGGTGACTGAGGCTCTGGGCACAGGAGTTGTTCATTCCAACTTTCTCTTCCAAGACCACACATGTTCCTCTGTATTTCCACATTGATTTCAGAACCAGCTGTCAAGTTCTACACAAAGAGACTAGTGGAACTGGGATGAAATTTGATCTTTAGTTCAATTGAAAGTATACTTAGTGTCCAAAACCTAAACATGAGATAATCTCTCCTCCTTATTTAGATCTAAGTTTTTCTTATAAGTATCTGGTTTTCTGTGCATATATCCTACAAATTTCATGTAGCCAAGAATTTCCTATTTATGATGTTATTATACATTTTAACTCTATTGACTGTATTCACTTATTTTCTATACTTTGGGTATACTGGCATTCAATAATTCAATACTTTGATCTTGAAAGAACTCCTCATCCCAAGGATGCCTAACTGTCTTTAAAATAAATGTGCATTTCTCTTCCAAACAATTATAAAGCAACAGTGAGGGACAAAGAACAAATAGACAAAGTCAGTTTCATCATAATTAAGAACTTTCACTCTAAAAACTGAAATCGAGTGAATGAAATGACAGGTTTGAAATAACATATGTGTATATATTTATAATATATGGAGATTACTTGGACACCAAAACTTACTCCTGAAAAACTACAAGAATTTATAAAGATAGGTTTTGTATATAAAACTTGCACCTCAATAATTTTAAATGGTTGCACATAAAAATATGCATCTATCCCCTTTTAGCAAACCAGGCTATTTTGTAACAGATTTATCTCCTCTTAGGTTAAGAAACCCAGCCCTTACAATGCAGCAGCAAATGAAAAGTAATGAAGCTTATTCTCATCTCTGACACTTGAAAATGTGACTGAGTCACAAAAATCACATAGTGGAACTAGTCTGTCTTCCCTCAAACCTGGCTTTCCTGCCTGTGCAGTAACTGTCCCAAAACCAGTTCAGAGAAGTGATATGCATCTACGAAATCTTTATGTATGCTCACAATGACCATCAGGAGGATAAAGACCTAGAGGTTCTGAGGACATCCATACACACACCCCAACCCCAAACCAAGAAGCTATAAGGACATTTCTGAATGTATCTACATGGGACACATTCTCTGTATTTAGCTACAATCTCCTCCACTCCTTATTTTCACACTAGAGTTCTAGACCCACTATTATTCTCACTTGGCCCTAGTAGGTCCTACAAGTGACACCTGCTTAACCAATTCTGTCCTTCAATGCATACAGTTACAGTTAGGAGTGCTAGAAAATACAGTGCTTACCTCGGAACAAAGAAACAATTGATAGGGACCTCAGCGATGGAGTCTGTTGCAAATACCTCTTTCTGGCCTGAGGATGTAGTGGTTCAGCACTTTCCTAGCATACACAATGCCCTAGATTCAATACCCAATATAATAATATTATCAATAACTGCTTCTTTCTCAGGGAGACTGCTGGACCAACAAAACTATGTGGCATCCATACTACATTCCCTGGAAAACGCTTTCCCATAAAGATCACACAATTCCTCAGACTTTACTGGGAAACCTTTGGAAATGCTGATTATCAAGACAGAATTAAAGACTACTTCTGATGTCATACTGTGCTCTTAAAGCACATAGTTAGACTCCCACTAAAGCTATTCTTCATTCTTCACAGTTGTTCCAGACCCACTGTGCATACAACACTTAAGAATAAGAATTAAGAATAAAGATGGCTTATAAAATAAATTTATTAGTACATTAGTTAGACAGTTTCCCACCTTGGTGATGTACAGTAGGGAAAATCCCACAATGCCAATCACATGGACAAACAATATTCATAAAGATGGTAAACCTCTGAAGGCCACAAGAACCCGGACTGTTCATCTGGGCCAATGCTAGGTCTTATGTAAGACCTAACCAGTTTTGAAGGAGGGAGAGAATCCCCACAGCATCACATTATTCAAGATACCCTCCAGGGTTTGGTGAACACAAAGGTCTGCACTCTCTGAGAACATTGGGGTGACTGATGGGATACTGTGAGAATAAACTACTTGGTAGTTTCTATTGCATCACTAAACATTACAAAGTACACATTAGTGCCAGAAACTCTACCAAGTACTCACACCTCATAGTGAATTGTAGGAGGAAGTGCTGACAGGCCTAGTAAACATGCTATGGTGCATGCGCAACAGTTACTTCCCCTTAAGCCAACCTGAAATCTGCCTGACTGGGGAGAAACAGCTGACACAAGAACACGTGACGAGAGAGACCAATGAGAGACAGCACAGCACAGAGCAGCCAAGGGACCAATGGGACACGGGGAGGGGGTATATAGGCATGCCCAATGTCCACAATAAATGAGTCTGCTTTGCCACTTGCCCAACTCCCAGAGTCTGTGTCATTGACTCTGCACCTTCTTACACCCACCCCCAAGGGGCTCGGAAGCAGGCGGCAGCAACATCTGGTGCCCAACGTGGGGCTCCCCATGCTGGCATGGGCATTGACCTTCCTTGGGTTCTGGCCACCGTTGTGGTAGCCGCTTTTTTCTTCTGGACCATGTTCTTTGCACTTTTCTGCCAGTTGTGCATCGACTGCTCCAGAGATTGGCCTTAGTTTCATTTTCTCCTGCTGGAGAAATCCCACTGAGTCCCCTTTTTCTTCGCGGCATGGTTTGGTCCCCCATTCGGTGTACTTTCGGTATGTTGGCCCCTTTGTGTTTCACGTTCTTTGCCCTCTTGAGAGGTAAGCGTGAGGGTCTCTCTCTCTCTCTCTCTCTCTCTCTCTCTCTTTATGTTCGTTTGTCTTAGTGTTAGGAAAGCACATTCTTTTGGTTTCAGTTCACCCAGCATCTCCACTTAAGGGCTGACCCCCCCCAGGAGATGGAACCCGGAACGTTCTCCTGAAAGATGCTCCCAGACCAGAGACACCCGGCTGTGGCCTAATGAACCACAGAAGTCCCCCACTAAGCGTAAGACATTTTGGTCCGACACACTCTGTTTTGTCTGTCTAAGGTTCACCAAAATGGGCAACCTTCCCTCTTATTGTAAGGAACCCCAGGTCCGTGCCCTAAAATCCCTCTTAGTTACCAGAGGGCTCAAGGTTAAGTCTGCTGTTGGAGGACTTGTGGAATGAGGCTGCAATCTTGGCCCCTTGGATAGCCCCAGAAAATATGTGGGAACCAGACTTATGGATGCGAGTCCTCTTTCTCTGAGAAAGCGCGAGATAGGGTCAGGGGTTATCCCTCCTGCTTCTTTTGTTCCCATCCTGCTTGCTATTATAGCCAGTCTTAAGTCCTCCTCCTCATAGGAGGTCATTGCCACCCACAACAAATACTGTCAAGAACAGGCTAATGCCAATCTGTCCATTACCTCACTGCCTGCCAGCACTGGATCTGTGACAGAGACTACCACTTCATCCTCCGATGAGGAGGATGACGGGGCTGTCACAATGGCACCTACAAAGCCTCCTCGCCTTTCACAGGCATGTCTCCCACCTTCTACTGCTGCTAACCCTCCCCCTCAGTATCCCCCCCAAATATCCATGGCGTGAGTTGAGCACCACAGCCAAGCTGTTTGAGCCTGTGCCCCCACCACTACCAGGTGCCCCCCCCGCGGCTGCCCTCATGCCCTCGGCCACTTTTGTGTCCACTTGTGCCCACTGTGCCATCCCCCTTGGCTCTGGGACAATGCCCTGAGGTTTACCCCATTAATGTAGGACCCAATGTGGCAAATCAGCCCTGGATACCTGCCCCTCTTACAGATCTCTCCTTGATTCAAAAGGCAGCTAATGAGTCATGCCCAGATTCTCCCTATTTTGAGCAGGTCTTATGCCAATGGGCCATTCAACTGCAAACCCATTATGAGATTGGTATCACCTTCTTAAAGCCGTCCTGGAGCCCTCTGCATTCCTTAACTGGTGTTCTGCCTATGATGACCAGGCCGAAACACAGGCTCAGCTCAATCTCCAATATGGCCTCAATATAACCCTGGATATGCTCACAGGTCGTGGTCAGTACATTGACCCTGTTTCCCAGTCTACCATAGGTGCCTATGCTTACTTTCAACAGGTATCAGATCTGGCCTTCAGGCCCTTAAGGCATGTACCCCGAGGGACCTGTCTGTGTACTTTTGCAATCTCGTCCAACAATCTGGGGAATCTTTCACTGACTTTCTTACAAGAGTTAGAGAGGCAGTTGAACATAGGGTCGATCCTGGCCCTACATGAGATATGCTTGTCAAACAACCTGGGAAAGCCTCAATGTCCCCACTCGTAATGCAGTGGCAGCTGTCTGCAATGATGATATCCACAAATGGGTTTTAGCTACCAGGTATCTCCATCCTGCCTCCGGCCCCATTGCAGCTCTGACTGCCTCCCTTGATGCCCTCTTGTCAGATAGACAGCAATCCAATGACTGCTCAAAGGGGGCCAACCCCCCCCATCGCACCTGCTGGGGCTATGGCAAACTCGGCGCGATTGTCCCAATGCACGTCCTAAGACCCGCTGCCCAAATTGCAACAAGGGCTTTCACTGGGCCCGTGACTACCGCTCCCAGCCCTCAGGCACTCAACAACCCAACAAAGCAGATTTAAACTCCCAGCGGGGCAACCCTCAGCCCCGCCAGTAAGAGGGTCAAGTTCCAACCCCAAGGTATATTGGACTCTGTTTTCCCCCACTCACCCATGAAGACTGTTTATCTTGATGGTCTTCCTGTTAAAGGGCTAGCTGACACAGGGGCAGACGTCACCACCCTCATGGAAACCGAGGCACTCAGATTCCCTCATTGGAAGTTTAAGCCAGGCCCCTCAGCCACCAGGGTGGGAGGCCAACAGGCTACCAGGGCTACAGCCCAGCCTGTACATTGGAAGGATCTTGACGGCAACCAGGGCTCATTTTCCCCAATAGTGGCCAATGCCTCTCGCAATCTTTGGGGAAGGGACATTTTGAAGGACATGGGAACCATCCTAACCACTGACAACCGTGCCTTCTTTGATGATATCATTACCCATGATAAGATTGGCCTCTCGGGACGTCCAGACCATTCCCAGAACCACCCCCAAGTCTAGAGGCCACTGCCCACCATGGGCCATTGCCAAAGATGGCACTAGAACCCATCGCCTTGACTTGGCTCTCAGATACAGACGTCTAGGTGGAGCAGTGGCCAATCACTGACCCAAAGTTGTCTGCCCTTAAGGAACTGCTCAAGGAGCAACTCTGGTTGAGACATTTAGAGCCCTCGACAAGCAGACATAATACCCCTATATTTGTTATAAAGAAATGGTCAGGTAAATATAGACTCCTACAGGATTTAAGAGCAATCAATGAACAAATGGAAAAAGTGGGAACCACCCAAGCAGGCTTGCCACACCCTAGTGCTATACACGCCTCTTATCATGTTATGGTTTTAGATATTAAGGACTGCTTCTTCCAAATTCCCCTTGTGCTCTAGGATAAATGTCACTTTGCATTTACTATCTGGGAACCCAATATGCAGAGGCCTGCCAAGAGATATCAATGGACTGTCCTCCCCCAGGGAATGAAGAATAGTCCCACCATCTGCCAGCTCTATGTGAATGAGGCTCTCCACAATGCCCCTGAGGATGTCTTGCTTGTCCATTGCATGGATGACATACTATTGGCCCACTCCATGTTGTCCCGACTCAAAGAAGTGTCATCTACACTCTTAAAAGACCTAACAGACCTCAACCTGAAGGTGGCCCCTGATAAAATCCAATTGCTCCCCTCATATGCCGTTTTAGGATTCTCTATTTCTAAACAGATTCAACCGCTGGCTTGTGCACTGTCCCTTTAGGATGCTTACTCCCTCATGGAGTTACAACAGTTATGCAGTACAGTTAACTGGCTTAAACTGTTCCTGCCAATCCCAGATTAAGAAATGCATGCTCTGTTCTCCCTCCTGGAGGGACCTTCATGCCTCTCCTCAAAAATTAGACTTACATTAGAGGCCAAGGCTCTTTTACAAAGAATTGCTTCCCTCCTTACCTCAGTCTCTCTGGATAGACATTGTCCAGATGAACCCCTCTTAGTGATAATACTCTGGACCCCCAAAAGGGTCCTAGGTGTGATTTGGCAGACCGGGTCACTTATGTGGCTGCATCAAGCCCATTCTGACTTACATAAGATCACCTCCAAGTTTGAACTTGCCTTCTGTTTAGCCCTCAAAGCTAGAAACCTAACAAGAAGAACATACAATAGAGAGCCTGACAAAATCATTCTTCCCTTTTCACTCCGCTACTCACAGTCGTTATGGGCAGACTCCATCAACTTCCAGGAGATGGTCTCTGGGTATACTGGAACTCTTGATAATCACCCCCCTCAGGATAAGAGGTTGACAGCTTTATGCTATTTCCCCATTGAGATTAAACCTCATAGTAGTCCTAGCTCATCCCCAATCCCACATGCAACAATGGCATTCTTGGACTCCAGCAAACTTAGGTTTGGGGTCCTTCTCCAGCACCCAGGCAAAGAAGACTTCACTTATATAATCCCTAACCCTGGCTCAGTACAGTTGGGGGAGCTCCTAGGACTTCTAAAAATTTTTATGGAATGCCAGTCAGAGCCTGTCAACATCTTCTCAGATAGCCAGTATGCAGTACTGGCCATCAGGACACTGTTCTTTTCTTTCATTAAGGACTGCACTAATCCCCTCCACGTTACTATGCGGTCACTCCAGGACATTTTGGAGCATAGGGCCCCTCCTTGGTATATCTCCCATATAAGATCACACATAGGACTGCCCAGAATCTTCACGAAGGCCAATGACTCAGTGCATAAAATGATTACGTCTGTCAACTTAGGACTTCTTGAACAGGCTAGGGCGTTGCACCAACAGTTTCATCTCTCCCCACAAAGTATACACAAGCTCCTGCCAGAACTTGCCATCTCACAATGTAAAATACACAAGCTCCTGCCAGAACTTGCCATCTCATAATGTAAACATTTGGTCAGATCTTGTGCTACTTGTGTGCCCTTGGTGCTGCTAGGCCTGCTTAACAGGGGAGGAGTCAATCCTAGAGGCCTCCTACCTAATGTAATATGGCAAATAGAAGTCACACATCATCCACCTTTTGGAAACCTTAAATATTTTCATGTGATCATGGACACTTGCTCCTCGTTTGTACATGCTATGACTCTAATGGGGGAGAAGGCCTCGCATACAATCAAGGGATTAATATCAGCTATGTTAGTTATGGGTGTTCCCTGGGCCCTAAAGACAGACAATGGCACAGCGTATGCCACTCAACAATTTAACTCCTTTGTGGCTTCTTGGAAAACTACCTATACTTTCATCATCCTCTATAATCCGCAGGGACAGCCCATTGTAGCGAAAACCAACAGGTCTCTCAAAACTCTTCTGGGCAAGGTTACCTCTCCTGAATGTAGGCATGACCCACATTTGGCCCTGATAGAGACTCTGTTTTACTCATCTTAACTTCCTCACCTTTGATGAGGGAATGAGTCCTGCCTGTAAACATTGGGTGTCACTCCCCCAACCTACCCCCTTGCCCCTTGTCAGATGGTGAGATCCCATCACATTAACTTGGCAAAAGCCTGCACCCCTGCTCACCCGTGGCAGCAGATATGCTTGTGTTTTTCCCCAGGACACAACAGCCCCAATATAGATCCCAACAAGGGACATCCGTCTGGCAACCAAAGACCCTGTGAAACAACAGGACGACTCCCTAAAATCTGGTGTTGGGTAACGCTCCTGGTGTTCCATGCCCGCAGCAGTGAGGCAGCTAACCTTTGGGCTATAGTCCCTATGCCCCCTATCCTCATGCTGGTTGATGTGCTGTCGGCTGCCTTCCCAGTCCTCCACACCACAATTCCTCCCTTGGGCTACCATATATGGCTCTAGTCCACAATGAGGTTCAAGTTAACTCCTCATAGCACATTGCTCACAGTGCCTGCTTTACTGTTAATTACACCGGCACTGATTGTGTTCCCCTCTATAAATTGACAACTGGGGATTTCCATGGCAACATATCCAGTGGAAAAATTACAGGATTTGAGATTCTTGCCCCTGTCACTTGGCCCATGGAGCAGACAGCACTTTGTAATGATACTAACTGCCCACCTCCTCTCCCCCGTCTAATTCCCAAATGCCCCGAGACCAGGACACTCCCTACTGACCTCCAATTCCCACTCCTGTGGGAACACTGCCTCACCACCCTCCCAACGAGGCTTTTGAACCTGTTCCAGTTACAAACCGGTGGCGATAGTAAAACCCTGGCCATCTGGCATGAGCTCCCTGATAATTCATCAAGTCCCAACTTTTACAAGCATGCCCGGTTAGCACGCACTTTTCACACCACCTATGGCAATTGGGAAATGTGCGGGCCCCTAGCATGCTTGGATCTTCAGCCCATCCTTTTCTGCAACAATGGCTCCTTGTTCAATGGCTCATATTCTCAAAGTAATGGGAGCAATCCCTGGCCAACAAATTTGACTATTAGCAAGGAAAAATCATCTCTGTACGCTCAATGCCTGTTTGCGTCAGACCCACCTTCTTCCTGGTATTGTCCAATGCAACCGATCTCTCAAACAATACCCTTAATTGTACAAGTTCCACATGTGCTCTGGCTGCCTGCTGGCACTTCCCCGCCAAAACGATACTCCTAGTGAGGGAACCTGCCATCATTTGGGTACCAGTAATTAATGCTACCCATTTTCACACCATAACCCTCATGGAGGCTACCGACCTCCAACTCCTCCCACGGGCAAAACATGATTTCAGTATCACCACTGCCATTATTGAAGCAACTGTAACAGCAGTAGCCACCGGCACCACTGCCGCAGTAACCCTGACGCAAAACGCTGCTACTGTTCAGGTACTTAATCAAATTGTAGAAAAATCAGCTGAGACATTACACACCCAGAATTTAATAAATCAACATGTCTACCAAGCAATTCATGTCTTACAACAACTGGTAGACTTACTGGGTGAAGAAATACAGCTCCTCCGAGAAATGGTCCTTTTGGCCTGTGACCCTTGGTTTCTGGCCTTTTGCCTGACACCATAGCAGGTCACCAGCGTCTCACAGGCCTGACAGGAATTAGGAAAATATATAAAAGGAACCTGGACACAACAGTTCCTGACTTATTCTTTACTATTTTGAGAACAAATCTCCCAGCTAAATTTAACAAGAGCCTCGGTACTTTCTTTAGACAAAGGCATGCTGGGATAAATCTGATCCAACATAAAAGTATCTTCAACCCCTCCTGGTTAGTCACATATGCTGTCATGGGAGTGGCTCTCCTGTTACTGCTCATCCTCTTTAAGTGTCTCCTACAGAATATCCGCCATCAGCGCACTGTCAACCTGGCTACCCTGCAAGTTCTCATGGCCCTCCAACATACAGGACGTGAACCCCCTCATGAGGCAGCCCAGGCATGGCTCAGTATCACTGAAGAGGCCATATTATGAACAGCCTTCCATCCCCACCCTGCACGCTCCTGGCCAGAGAACACCTCCTTCCAGGACTGGTAGTCAATGACAGGTAAGAGCTTCCTTGACAAGCTAACCTAAGACAGGCACAGTCCCACATGCTGGAGGCTGTTTGAGGTGGGGTCAACAAGGTCAGGGCCAAACACCCCGGCTCCCACAGGAGTGATGCATATAAATAAGTTAAAAGGTTGGATATGTAGGAGGAAGTGCTGACAGGCCTGGTAAACATGCTATGGCACATATGCAACAATTTCTTCCCCTTAAGCCAACCTGAAATCTGCCTGACCAGGGAGAAACAGCTGATGTAAGAACACGTGATGAGAGAGACCACTGAGAAGGAGACAGCTCGCAGCATGGAGCAGCCAAGCAACCAATGGGACACCGGGAGGGGGTATATAGGCATGCCCAATATCCGCAATAAACGAGTCTGCTTTGCTACTTGCCCAACATTCAGAGTCTGTGTCATTGACTCTGAGCCTTCTTACCCCCACCCCCAAGGGGCTCTGGAGTGGGCATCAGCAACAGGAAGACAAAGTTGAAAAACTGGACTTCTCAAAATGACTTTTGCAAAGGAGAAACTGACACCATACCAGGTCACCAACATCTCACAGGCCTGACAGGAATTGGCAAAATATATAAAAGGAACCTGGACACAACAGTTCCTGAATTATTCCTTACTATTTTGAGAACAAGTCTCCCAGCTAAATTCAACAAGAGCCTCCGGTACTTTCTTTAGACGAAGGCATGCTGGGACAAATCTGGTCCAACATAAAAAGTATCTTCAACCCCTCCTGGTTAGTCACGTATGCTGTCTTTGGAGTGACTCTCCTGTTACTGCTTATCCTCTTTAAGTGTCTCCTACAGAATAATCAGCATCAGCGCACTGTCAACCTGGCTACCCTGCAAGTTCTCATGGCCCTCTGACATACAGGACGTGAACCCCCTCGTGAGGCGGCCCAGGCATGGCTTAGTATCATTGAAGAGGCCAGGGTATGATCAGCCTTCCATACCCATCCTGCCTGCTCCTGGCCAGAGAACACCTCCTTCCAGGACTGGTAGTCATGATGGGTAAGAGCTTGCTTGACAAGCCAACCTAAGACAGGCACAGTCCCTCATGCTGGAGGCTCTCTGAGGTGGGGTCAACAAGGTCGGGGCCAAGCACCCCAGCTCCCATGGGAGTGATGCATATAAATAAATAAAAAGGTTGGATATGTAGGAGGAGGTGCTGACGGGCCTGGTAAACATGCTATGGCGCATGCGCAAGTTACTTCCCCTTAAGCCAACCTGAAATCTGCCTGACTGGGGAGAAACAGCTGACACAAGAACACGTGATGAGAGAGACCACTGAGAGACAGCGCAGCACAGAGCAGCCGAGGGACCAATGGGGCACCGGGAGGGGGTATATAGGCATGCCCAATATCCATAATAAATGAGTCTGCTTTGCCACTTGCCCCACTCCCAGAGTCTGTGTCATTGACTCTGCACCTTCTTACCCCCACCCCCAAGGGGCTCAGAAGCAGGCAACTGCAACAGTGAATCTTCCAAACCTCAGAGGTACATTGTTCAACTTCGGACAGATTCCTTGGAAAACACTTTCCCATAAATGTTAAGGCCTTCCTTTCGCATGAACCTTTTGGTGCCTGATAAGGGAATACCTCTTGTTGAAGGCTTTCCTACACATGCTGCACTCATAGGGCTTTTCTCCAGTGTGGATCATCTGGTGCTCAATGAGTTTGTTTTTGTAGATGAAGGACTTCCCACAATCAGTGCAGCAGTAAGGCCTCTCTCCACTGTGAACTTTCTGGTGCCGAATAAGGCTAGTGTGGTGGCTAAAGCCTTTCCCACATTCTCTGCACTCACAGGGTATCTCTCCAGTGTGGACCCTCTGATGTTGAAGAAGTTGGTTTTTGTGACTGAAGGATTTCCCACATTCACTACACTCATAAGTCTGTGACCTGGCATGGACTTCCTGGTGCTGAAGCAGTTTATCCTCAAGGTCAAAGCCCTTCCCACACTCACTGCATTGGTAAGGCTTTTTTCTGATATGGATTCTATGGTGCTTAAGAAGTGTCTCTTTGAAGATAAAAGTTTTCCCACACTGACTGCACTTGTAAGCCCTTTCTCCAGTGTGAATTCTTTGGTGCCGAATATAATCAGAAGACCGAATAAAGGACTTCCCGCATTTGGTGCAGACATAAGGCTTTTCTCCAGTGTGTATTCTCTGGTGCTCAAGAAGTCTCTTCTTATGGATGAAAGCCTTCTTACATTCCGTGCATTCATAAGGCCTTTCTCCAGTATGGATTCTCTGGTGATCAAGAAGTGACTGTTTATAGAAGAAAGACTTCCCACACTCACTACACTCATAAGCCCTTTCTCCACTGTGAATTCTCTGGTGTCTAGCATGGTCACAGGATTGAATAAAGGACTTCCCACATTCAACACACACATAAGGCCTTTCACTAGTGTGGATTCTGAGCTGGTGCCCAACAAATGTCTGTTTGTGACGGAATGATTTCCCACAAATGTTACACACATAAGGCTTTTCTCCATTATGGGTCCTCTGGTGCTCAACAAGTGCGTATTTGGAGCTGAGAGATTTCCCACAGTCAATGCACACATAAGATCTTTCTCCCATGTGGATTCTCTGCTGGTGCCCAACAAGTGTTTTTTTGTGGAGGAATGATTTCCCACATACACTGCACACATAAGGCTTTTGTGTATCATGAGTCCTTTGGTGTTCAACAAGCAAGTATTTGGAACTCAGAGATTTCCCACACTTACTACATCTGTAAGTTTTTCCTCTAGTATGAACTCTTTGATGTTCAATGATAGGAACCCTCTCACTGAAAGCTTTTTCACATCTGCGATGTCCATAATACCTTTGCTGAGTGGGAAAGGTCTCTTTGCTTCTCAATGGATATTCTCCATGGTGTGTGGTCTGATGCCTAAGAGGACCAGGGCTGGCTGGGAAATCCTTTTCAACATCTTTGCATGTGATGAGGTTCTCAGACCCAGGAACTTTACAGCTACTCATGATTAAGGTTCTCATCTCCTCTCCTCTTTGGAAATGTTGCTCTCTACTACGCTGCTTCTGGCTCTGGTGTAGGTTCGAGCTGAATGAGAACTGTTTCCCACATGCCACACATGTGGACGGTGTCTGCCCAGGAAGTATTCTTTGGTGCTCAGCAACCAGGACACACATTTCACAAGGATGAGTCTTTGAAAAGGACACACCTGGTGTTGGACTCCTCATCTGTGACATTCCTGTGGAAACTGTCTGCCCAGGATGGGCATCCTCAGCCTCCACTTCATGCCAATAACCTGGAACCACAAAGATGTGGGTAAAAGGTACATAGACTTTGGAGGGAAGAGGCAAGTCCATTAGAAACACTTGCATGACACAGTAGGAAGGATCAGCCCATGGATTTGTTGGGGTGGGGGGGTTAGTTACTTTTTTGTTGCTGTGACAAAACACCATGACCAAGGAAACTTATAAAAGGAAGAGTTTATTTGAGTTTACAGTTCCAGAGGAATCAGAGTCCATCAAGGTGGGGAGGCATGGTGACAGGAGATAGCCAGAGGAGAAAGCTAAAAGCTCACATTTTTAAGCAGGACAGGAAGCAGAGAGCGACTAGAAACCTGGCACTCTGGTGAGGCTTAGGAACTCTCAAAGCCCGTCCCCAGTGACGTGCTTCCTCCAGCATGGGCATACCTTCTAAGACCTCCCAAAACAGAGCCATCAAATGGAGACAATATGTCCAAATACTTGAAGCCTATAAGGGACATTCTCATTCAAACCACCACAGGGGCCAAGAGAGCTAGACCAGATCAAACAAGACTGGTTAGTAGTAGACCTCCAGGGGCCACAGTATAGGGAAGGCCCAATAGTCATTAAAAGATACAGGGAACAGGGTGAGGTGGTGACAAGACACGGGTACACAATTCTTGTGTCTGTGGTTTTCCTTTTTAAAAAGGCTTTGGTACTGGGGATTGAACCCAGGGCCTTGCATATGTTACATGCATGCTCTACCACTGAGCTATATCCTCAGCAGTATTAGTGATTTTCAGCAGGACTTTGTCTGCTACAGACAGGCGGAGTTGCACCAAAGTAGCTCGTTCAAGGTTTAAATATGTAAGAATAACTTTCAGGACATTAAATAGGGAGTAATGTAGAAGAAACTATAGAGGGAAGGGAACTAAGGGCTAAAAGAGGTCGAGGACAGCCAGATATCAGAAGTTGGCATACACTGCAAGTGGGAAAAATGTCAAGTTAGCAGAGGAAAGAGAAATGAAGCCATGAGCCTTAGCACCAAAATAGTGGTGGGCACAAGCATGCTTGGTATGATTTGAGGTTAGCCTTAAACTCACACCCTGCTGCTGCTCCTACTCAAAGGCTCAGGATTCCATAAGTCCCTCTTACTATAAGTGGATAACTCTCTGCCTTACTCTCTGATTCCCAGCTCAAGCCGGAGCTGTAGGGCTATCTAGAACCTGGGAGGTAGAAGTTCTAAGAGGAAAACACATAGTTGAGTGACCAACACTGACTCAGCATGTCTCAACCAATGAGAGAATACAAGAGAAAAATGTATAAAGTTCCAGCCTCTCGCCTGAGGCCACAGGAACACCCAGTCAAAGAAAAGAAAAGAAAAGAAAGAAGGAAAAAGAAAGAAAGAAAGAAAGAAAGAAAGAAAGAAAGAAAGAAAGAAAGAAAGAAAGAAAGAAAGAAAGAGAAAACCCTAAAGGAAAATCTTACTGTCATAACCTAGTGTTCCCAGAAAATAATGGTCCTATAAACACCTATAATTCCTCAGATAGGGAGGCCCCAAGAAATGCCCACTAAAGGTAAGGAAGGAATGTGTGACACAGGTCTACCCACATATCTGAACTTTAGGAAAGAATGGCAAAGCCAAGTGGCACTGAATAGATAAGCTACAAGACTCTGAACCCAAACTCTTAACTAAAAGGTATTCGAACCATAGATATTGAGGGGCAGAAAGCCTACACTTAACAAACACAGTACCCCTGTCAGGAAGCAAGGAAAGGAAACAGGCCCAAGGTCCTACTCTGGGAAGACAAGGTGATCCTTGAAGAAAAGGGATGCACAAAGACTGTCAATGGTTGGCTGTGAGGGACTTACCCACAGAGGACAGAAGTGCGAAATTCTCCAGCATCACATCATGATACAGGGTCCTCTGAGCTTCATCAAGAAGCCTCCACTCCTCCTGGGAGAAGCGCACAGCAATATCCTCCACAGTCATATGGACCTGTCATGATGGCATAGATAAGTTCATGAGCAGATTTAACCCCTAAGATCCCCAGTACATGGCTGTGTTGCCCAGTGTCACGATGCAAAGCAGAAGAGGCCCTGATGTCACCACTTCGGCTACCCCTCATGCCCCATGGATCACTGTCTCCAGCTTCCATGACAAAGAGAGTAGTGTCATCTGATTGGGATTGTCATACAGAATCTGAGCCACGTTGCTGCCAATCAGGTTTTCTGGGGTCCTAAGTAATGCCACATACATACACACCTGTGTTCTTAAATATCAGGCTCCTGAGCACATCCATTAACACTCCCCATCAGCACATCCCTCTGAGATCAAAGCTCCCACACATGTCCAGACAACCCATAACATCACTGCTACCAGGCCAGATGTGATGCTAGTTTCCCCACACGATATGTTGCTCATGTGCTAGCCAAAACCACCCAGGTCCCAATACGGTCCCAGCTCTTTGCTCAGGCAGTTATTTATGTCTGTCTGCTTTCCTCTCAACTTTTCTGTGAACCCAAAATAAGAGTTTTTAATAAAAGGAATGTTAAAGTAAAATAGAATTTTTATTTTTATTTCATTTTTAAAATATTTTATTATTTCATTTTATGTGTATTGCCTGCACATACATAAGTGCACCCCTGTTGCGCAATGCACACAGAGGTCAGAAGAGAGCATTGGGTTCCCTGGAACTAGAGTTACACATGGTTGCTAGCTGCCATGTGGATGCTGGGATCCAAACCTGGGTTTGCTGCAAGAGCAGCCAGTGCTCTTAACTGTTGAGCCACCTCTCTAGCCCCTCTTGATAGTATTTCTTTTGTTTTTTTGTTGTTTTTTATGTGTATGAGTGTATTGCCTGCATGTGTGTAAGTGCACCTGCATTGTGCAGTACCAGCGGAAGACACGAGAGGGTGTTTGATCCCCTGGAATTAGAGTCATGGACAGTTGTCAGCCACCCTGTGGGTGCTGGGAACCAAACCCAGGTCCTCTACAAAAGCAGCCAGTGCTCTTGACTGCTGAGCCATCTCTCCAGCCCTTCTTGACAGTATTTCTAATAAATATACTTCCGACCCACAGATCATTTTAGTAAACAGCACATACACACCTCTACTTGTTAATGCAAAATTCCTGAGGTTATCCCTGATTTCTCCCTCTCATCATATGCAGTAGAAAATCATCCCTATTTAAAAATCCAACTGTGAAGAAAAAGCCAAACCCCCAAACAATAGACAATGAGAAGAAAAAACACTAGGGCAGAAATCAATAAAATGGAGTCTAAAAGAACAATACATAGAACCCATCAAACAAAGCGTTGGTTTGAAAGAAATGAAGATTGGCATATCCCTAGCCAAAGTAACCAAAAGAGACAGACAGAAGACCCAAATTAGTAAAACTAGAGATGGAACAGCAAGTTACAAAAGACTCCAATGAAATCCAGAAGGCTCTAGGTAATACTTTGAAATTTTACACTGCATGGGGCTGGAAAGATGTCTCAGTGGTTAAGAGCACTGACTGCTCTTGCAGAGGAGCCAGGTTCAAGTCCCAGCACCCACGTAGTGGCTACGAACCATCCTTAACTCCAGTTCCAGAGGATTCCCTGAGGCATTGCACGACACAGGTGCACTCACGAACATGCAGGCAATATACTCATACACATAAAACAAAAATAATAAATAAAAAATAATTTTATACTGCAGAAAAATTAGAAAATCTATAAGAAATAAATTCCGAAACACATATAACTTACCGAGATTAAATCAAGAGGATACCAGTAACTTAAACAGATCCATAACAAACAACATGATTGAAGCAGAAATACAAAGTCCCTCAAA